GCACAGGGCTCTTACAAGGGCCATGAGCTCTGCCTCTGGGCAGACGTACCTGGAGGGAGGGCTTCTGCTCCTAAGACTCCTGAGGAGTTACTACTGTGTACCCCGCCTTCTGGAGTCCCCAGTCCACGAAGCTGCTCCCGATCATAAACATATCCATATCTGCATTTTCTAAAGGCTGATCAGTTAGGTTAGGACTGCTAGAACAGACTTCTTCAGTCATTTGTATGGTATGAGATGCCTTATGGCATTCCACAGTGCACTTAATGGCTCATTGTCATTTCCTTTAAGAGCCTCATATAGGGGTTTGGCCATGAGTCCAAAGTTAGGAATCCAAATATTACAAAACCCAGCCATTCCTAAGAATCCTAGCAATCGCCTTCTGGTAGTTGGTACAGCTACCCTAGCTAACGCTTCCCTTCGATCCAGCAATAAGGGATCTTTTCCTTTTGATAACTCAAATCCTAGGTATTTTACAGTTGGTTGAGAAATTTGCACTTTTCCCCTGGAGACTTTGTCCCCAGTCTGCCAGAAAGTTTAAAGTGAGGGTTGCATTTTGGTCTGAAGCTTCCTTAGTTTTACTAGAAGCAAAGTATAAGGATTTGGCATCACGGGATGTATATCTCCTACAGTTTGGTTAATGGCTTTCAAATTCTGTGCAAAACGATAATCTCTGGCCCCGGGTTTTTGTACCAGCAGGATTGGAGTGTTATATGGGGATTGACGAGGTCCGATTAACTGGCATTTAAGAAAGGTGGTTATCAGAGGGTTTATACCTTTCTTTGAATGCCTGTTTAAAGTGTATTGCTTTAAATTTGGAGCCTTGGTGCCTGGATGGAGTTTTACTACTATTGAGTCAGGCATCTTGACTCCCTGGCCTTCCTGCAGCCCAAACATCCGCTCTTACCTTTTGTGGAATTTCCGCAAGGACGGGTCTCCCAGTTGTAATAGTGCAGCTCAGAGGGCGCAGGTTTGATCTGGGAGTACTTTAATGTCTGGTGAGAAAATCATTTAATTTTGTTAGTAGATCTTGCCCCAACAAGGGAACAGGGGCATCAGGCATGTACAGAAAGCTGGGCTTTAAATATGTTTTTTTTCCAGTTATATAGATCAGAGGTAGAAAAGGGGGGAGTGCACAGATACCAACCCCCTGGGTTGACCTTGGTCATCTAGATCGGCAGGAACTTGTCTTAAGGGATATTGCCCTGCCTGAGGCAGAGGACCACGTGGACTGAATTGAATACGCTGGCATGTATGGGGAGGGGAGTCGATCCCTTCTGACTGTCTGGTAACGAGGGTAGGGCTGGTTGTGGCTGTAGGAGGATTGCTGGTAGAAGTCTTGGCACGCCACACAGGACTTCCCCCTTCGTATGGCGGGAGGGCCACAGGGAGCCCAAGGCGGAGCCAAATGGAGTAAGTCGAGATCATCATTAGGCTCTGACTGCAGGCAAGACAGGCTTTTCCTGAGGGTCTTGCCTCTGAACCATGATTTTACATCTATTCTGCAAATTCTTATTCTGATATAACGACCTAATTTGGTTACGCTGCTGAAAAAAAAATGCAAAATAAGTTAGAAAAAAACAGTCAAATGACATACCTGCTTCCTCTTGATCTGAGGAAAGTGGATATTCACAGTGCAAGGCAGAGCTGATGGTAGGACAGCCAAGATTTCTCCATGTGGAAGTCCATCCTCTGGTGGAAAAAAAAGCCCCTTCGTGAAGCAGGAGCTCTGTTGTTGGCTGACCAGGCTGCCTCCATCATTGTGCTCCAAGTACTTTACTTCTTAGACAGCAAAAACACGGAAGAGCCTGGAACAACTGCCGTTAGCAAATGCCTGCTGCCTCTTCCCAGCCTCCATGGATTGGGCCCGACGTTAGTCTTATCAGAGACTCGACGTCCGTGGGATGCAATGCTGGCTGCACCTGGAAAACCCTTGAGTTCATGGGAGATGAAGGAAAGCACCAGGGTTTGCCAATCTGGGGCTCAGGGCATACTTTGTTCCTTTGTAGGAAGCACCTGGGCACACTCAGGGCTTGCCCCCTCAATGACTCCACCTTAGTGCTGATTCTGAGGGGTTAGCTGGCCCCCCTGAGAATGGATGTTTGGAGAGAGTGTGAAAACAAGTAACTCATAAGTCAACAGTTAGCCAGAACCCCAGGTTTCAAACCCAGGAGCCGAGAACAGTCTACGGATTGCAAACCTCTAGAATATGGCCTTCCCTCACTCCCCCTGACCCCACCCCACCCAGAACAGCAGACAGCCTCAAGAGGTGTGAGGGAGAAAGCAAGAGCCGTACAATTTGGGAACGAATTCCACCTCCTAGTTTGGTTTCTGGAAAGAAGCAAGCAAATGAAGCAGTGACTATTCACAACTTGGCTGTGTGAATTCCCCCAAGAATCCAATGAGGAGTCAAGGATGGCCAGCGTGGATGTGAGGGTTCCCTTAGGGAACACTGGAAACCTTCCATTAGAGGTGATTGCCAAGAACTGTGGCTTGAAAGTCACGCATGCTACCAGCTGCTGAGGAAGCTGCCCGGCAGCTCCAAGACTGTAGTCAATTTGGCCGGAGGCTCCTAACAATTTTCCCCTGTGTGCTAAGGGCAGGCTTGCCTATTGCAGAGGGGCCTGTGAAAGTCCAGACTGTCTCCCTCGCCAGCTCAGAAAACTTACCCGATGAGGAGGAGGGTGAAAGAGGTGACTGGACCACCTTGAAGAAAGTGAAGTGAGGAGGCTGTCTTAGGCTCAGTCAGAGCTGAATTTGAGAGAGGAATTCAGGAAGATACAGGCTGAAATACCCAAGCCCTCACTTCCTTTCTGAGCATGTTGGTGTTTAATCTTCCTGGTAGACGACCAAAACATTTTACCTCCCCAGCAGAGATCACAGACGAGCTAATCTAGATATCTGGGCTATTTCTAGGTGGAATGCATTCAGCCCAAGGCCTCCATGTATGTAGACCATGGCCTTAAGCACCACACCAATGTTTGTTCCTCCAAGCAAACTTTCCTTTTACATAGAGAGAGACTTAAAAGCAGTTCAATGCTAACTCCCTGTTAGTTTGGCTCATGCAAAATAGGGTTAAAATTCTCAGTAAGGGAAAACCAAAATGTGTCCAATTATATAGAATTCCTTTAGCCCAAGAACAGGGTATGTTCCTCTGGGATGGAGGATTTTCCTGCTTTACACGCCCTCATTTCTCCTTTACCCTCTCACCCCGCAACAAGGTAATCAGGGCTGGTTCCATTAAGAATACACCCCTGTATCAATACCTTCGGGCAATCATATTAGGGACAAGTGAGAAAAAAAACCCCACACCTCTATAAGGCAAGGTTTCTAGTCAGGGAGCAATGTCTTTGGTCTCCTGAGTCAGAGGGCCCTCATTCATATCTGGTTTAATAAAGTTTTGGTACAGTCATACAAGAGCCAACCGCTATCAGCCAATCCTAACAAATAAAACAGTCAGACATAGATAAACATAGATAGACAATGAAACCAAAGGCCTGGGACTCTAACCCCATCCTTTGAGTACCTCAGTGGCTAGAACCTTTTATATTGTCTCCCTTAGTATGGGACTCTAACCCATGATCTTAGCCTTGGGACTCTAACCCAAGGTTCAGGAACCTAACCCAACAAAAATCTCCCCAGGTTGGAGCTCTAAACTATAATCCCAACAAGGTTATTAGACAGGCACAGGTGCATTTTAATGAGCTTACTCACGCAAAAGACCTCTGATCCAGGAGTTGCTTCTTTTCTCAAAAGTGAAAGTAGGGGCTTCCCTGGTGGCACAGTGGTTGAGAGTCCGCCTGCCGATGCAGGGGACAGGGGTTCATGCCCCGGTCTGGGAGGATCCCACATGCCGCAGAGCGGCTGGGCCCGTGAGCCATGGCCCCTGAGCCTGTGCGTCCAGAGCCTGTGCGTCCGGAGCCTGTGCTCCACAACAGGAGAGGCCACAAGAGTGAGAAGCCCGCATACAGCAAAAAAAAAAGTTAAAGTAGCACCAAGGAAGCTGGAGTGCCAGGCTGGGGAAGCAGGAAACTGACAGGCGACCCTCTAGACAGATTCGGTCTAGGTGGCCACTCTGGATTGGTGGCAAGGCACACACTCCACTAAGGGCCACAGTGCCTCTGGCAGGCACTCAGAAGACCTATGTCCCTTTGTGGTCGCCAAAATTGTTCCAGGCAAGGGCTCGCTGCCCGATGCGCATAGAAGCCAATACTACGGCACCGGCTTTTGAGAAAAGAAAGAGCTTTATTGAGAGGTTGACAGGCAAGGAGACAGATTTGAGAGCCTTGCCTCCTGTCGTCTCGCCGCTCAACCTCTCAATAAAGCTCTTTCTTTTCTCAAAAGCCGGTGCCATAGTATTGGCATCTATGCACATTGGGCAGTGAGCCCTTGCCCAGTAACACGATCATCAATCTATTCTATGTGTGCATATCCTTGGGCATGTTTTATTCAAATAACATTCCTACAGGTTTCTTTTTATAAATTTATTTATTTATGGCTTCATTGGTTGCTTCTTAGGGGCTTTCTCTAGTTGTGGTGAGTGGGGGCTACTCTTTGTTGCAATATGCAGCCTTCTCATTGCGGTGGCTTCTCTTGTTGTGGAGCATGGGTTCTAGGCACGCGGGCTTCAGTGGTCGTGGCACATGGGCTCAGTAGTTGTGGCTCGCGGGCTCTAGAGTGCGGGCTCAGTAGTTGTGGTGCATGGGCTTAGTTGCTCCGCGGCATGTGGGATCTGCCCGGACCAGGGCTTGAACACATGTCCCCTGCATTGGCAGGCAGATTCTTAACCACTGCGTCGCGAGGGAAGCCATCCTACAGGTTTCTTGCCTCTTGCCTCATATCTTATTGAAGCCCATATTTTTATGGCCATATTTACAATATTTGTTAAGCAAATTATTATTCAAATACATGACCAAGAAAATGACTTTTGTAAAACGTTTTTAAAAAAATGAACATGCTTTCACACAGGTATATCTAATCATATCTTTATTTCTTTTGAGTAGTGAAATAGCAAAAACAGAATTCCTCCTTAAAGAGTACATGAACTATGGATTTTTTCTGCTGAAATTGTCTTCAAAACAATGGCAAATCCAGCAAGCAATGAAAAGGGTGTCAAAGAATAAAGAAAATGTGAATGTCATGCTTCCAAGTATAATGACAAGTAAGTCCCATATTCTTAAATTCAATTAAGTAAATATCCCTAATTCTAAAATATTCTGCCTCAATGTTTGTTTTTAATTAAATAGTCAGAATTTTTATTTTAAGCAGAACCTGAACAATCCCACTATCCCACTATCTCTGATATTATAAATTATTAATTTGGAAATTCAGGTTAATTTCAGATATGAAGCAACAGAAATATATACATGGAGGGCTTCCCTGGTGGCACAGTGGTTGAGAGTCCGCCTGCTGATGCAGGGGACATGGGTTCGTGCCCAGGTCTGGGAAGATCCCACATGCCGTGGAGCGGCTGGGCCCATGAGCCATGGCATGGCCGCTGAGCCTGCGCATCCAGAGCCTGTGCTCTGCAACGGGAGAGGCCACAACAGTGAGAGGCCCGCATACCGCAAAAAAAAAAAAAGTATTTGTTTATCTTTCTAGATGAACCTCAGAATCATTATGCAAAGTTCTACCTAACCCAACACCCAACTCCCTGACCAATTTTTTTGTAACATTTTTATTATAATTCCATAAAACATAATTAATTTCAGAAAAATTGGCAGCTTTACAAAATCAACCTTCCTATCTAAAAACATGACACATTTCTCATTTGTCACATCTCCTGGTCACACAATTAAGGTTAGAGGATCTGGAGTAGAGTGTAGGGGAGGGGGGTGGAGGAAGTAGGTGGTGGAGTCAATGTCTTCTTCTCTTTAAAATCTTGAATATAGAAGTCACTGAGTTTAAATAACATCCCTTAACAAGACGTTTTAGTAATATGTGTTCCAGTATCAGTTTAAAAGCTTAAGATGGTAATTTATGGCGGTGGTAGAATCCACTGGTTCTTCATCCATTTTCTTTTCTTCCCCCACTCACCATGTATATATTGGAGGCATACAATGTATCGGGTTCTTTTTAAGACTCTGAGTACACAAAGACCAATAGGACATAGTTCTGCACCCTGGACCTACACTATACAATACAATACAATAGGGCAAACGATACAGCAGTGATAGTGAAGGGTCTGAGAGCAAAAGCAAAAAATATGATCTATGCCTGAGGCATTTAGAACAGTCTTTATATATATATATATATATATATATATATATTTATTTATTTATTTATTTATTTATTTATTTATTTATTTTTGGCTGTGTTGGGTCTTCATTGCTGCACGCGGGCTTTCTCTAGTTGCAGTGAGCGGGGGCTTCTCTTGTTGCGGAGGTTGGGCTCTAGGAATGCGGCCTTCAGTAGTTGTGGTGTGAGGGCTCAGTAGTTGTGGTGCATGGGCTCAGTAGTTGTGGCTCATGGGCTTAGTTGCTCCATGGTGTGTGGGATCTTCCCGGACCAGGGATCAAAACTTTGTCCCCTGCATTGGCAGGTGGATTCTTAACCACTGTGACACCAGGGAAGTCCCAGAAGAGTCTTTAAGAGGAGGTGATGTTTGAGCTGGATTTTGAAGAATAAGTAGGAACTTCCCAGGTAGAGGGTGGGAGAGTGGGACCTGCTGTGGTTTCAAGACAGAATAGCAGAAAGGGTGATTGGAAGTCACAAGAGCACAGGCATGAGGAAGCGTGGCCTGGCTGTGGGGGGGACCTGGGGGTCAGTGGATGCAGAGACCCAAGACCAGTTTTGCCCACTTCTCAGTTTCAGACCAGGGTCAGGCCCAGACACTGGTGTCAGGGGAATGAGTGCATGGGTGACTTGTATGGGCCTATGGTAGGTCTCTCCACAAGATGTAATAATTGAAGTCCATCATTTTTATTTTATATATTGATCTTTTAAAATCTGTGATTAGAAATATATGATTAGGTAAAAATAGAACCATGGTTTATATTTCACCATCTATGTCCCTGATTTGTGACCTTTAATAGTTGTGCCATGTTTTTGACAAAATGCACCCCCCCACCCCAAACAGTGCCTTTGATGTTATGCCTGGAACCAAAAGTAGTAGAATAAAAGAGCTCTATTTCCTATACGATTATTATTCTTTTTTTTCTTTTTTTTTTTTTTTTTTCAGTTTTTGGTTCTTTCTGTATACTTTTGGGATTCCCTAACCTCCCTGCCCCATACACCTTTTTTTTTTTTTTTTTTTTTTTTTTTTTTTTTGCAGTCCGGGGGCCTCTCACTGCCGTGGCCTCTCCCGTTGCGGAGCACAGGCTCCATAAGCGCAGGCTCAGCGTCCATGGCTTACGGGCCCAGCTGCTCTGTGGCACGTGGGATGTGGGCCTCTCACTGTTGTGGCCTCTCCCACTGTCGAGCACAGGCTCCGACGTGCAGGCGCAGCAGGCATGGCTCATGGGCCCAGCCGCTCCATGGCATGTGGGATCCTCCCGGACTGGGGCACGAACCTGTGTCCCCTGCTTTGGCAGGCGGACTCCCAACCACTGCGCCACCAGGGAAGCCCCGATTATTATTCTAATAATAATTTTTAAAAAGTAATGGGCATATCAGTGCAGAAAAAATGAATATCTTGTACCAAATAACAAGGACTCACTTCTAATTACGTTATTTTTTTCACTTCCACCATCACCAATGACATGGACTTCGCCTGGACATTTTGAACAGCAAAACCGTGCAAGACGACCACTCCCACCCTAGAGCAAAAGAAATCATCCTTATCAAAGTACAGTACATATTGATTAACTCTCTTGAAAACTGTGAATTTTTTTTTTAAGCAAATATTTCTTTTAGCCTTTCTTTAACATACGTACCATGTATCCACACCCACGGTTAACAGATGCCGGAGGTAGTGGTTCCATGTGCTCCTGAGGTGACCAAGCTCTCATAGGCCTCCCTGCCTCCTTTGATGAGGGCCTATAACTGCTATCTGCAGAAACTGCCTGCGCCCTGCATCTTGGGTCTTTGCCTCTCAGAATTCACTGCCCAGTTGTTTGAATCCACTGCTGACTTGTGTGTTTGCAGTTTTACCATGTCATTCAAAATTGCTGCAATGAGACTATAAAGCATTTTTTGTTTCTTCCCTTATTTGATTATTGACTCATTTATACTCATTATTTCATAAATTGGTAGTTCTCAACCCTAGCTACCCCAGAGGAGCTTTTAAGAAAATATATTGATGTCTAGGATGGGTACACCAGGCCCAAAGGAAGGATCTGGGCCAGCACTGTATTATCCATGACAAAAGCCAACACAGACACTGTGCTCTGAATTCCAGGGGCCCTGGGGTGACTGCACTTCTGTGGCATTTAGGAGTCACTGTTTTGTTGTTTTTAATTAAATTTTCATTTTGAGATAATTGTAGATTCACACGCAGTTGTAAGAAAAGAATACAGAGAGGTCCCACTATGGTTCACCCAGTTTCCCCCAATAGTAACATCTTACAAAACTGTAATATGATATCACGACCAGGATATTGACATCAAGAGAGTCAAGATACAATCAAATACAGAATATCATAAGGATTCCTCATGTTGATGCACACAGTAATACTCAAACGTCACATTCATTCTCTCAGAAAGCTCACCACTCTCCTAGTTTCTTTCATTTACTCAGCACATATTTATTGAGTGCCCTGCAGGGCCAGCGATAAATAAAAGACAGTCTCTGCCCTCCAGGGGCTTACCATCTAGTGAGGGAGACAGACAAGGAATTCGTCAGTTACACTATAATGTGATAAGGCCATTGGAAGGATAAGCTCAGGGTGCCACAGGCATGCAAAGGAAGGACTCTCAGCCCAGATGAGAGGTCAGAGACTCAGAAACAAGGGCGGGATCAGTGAACACCCTCCAGATCAGGTGGCATCTAAGCTGCTCCTGGTGAGGAGCAGGGGTCAGTGAGGACACGCTCTGGAAGAGGGAGGGGCCGTCTGGGACGGGGTGACGGCGTTTGGCTCTGTTCAGAATGGCTGGGCCGCAGGGTGCAAGTGGGCGAGGCTCGAGGGGTAAATAGGTATTGTATCGTGACTGGGGAAGCAGTGGTGCCATCCAAAGGAGTCTATGTTTTGTTCCAAGTGCCCTGGGGAGCCACTGAGGGTTTTAGCAAGTGTGTGACAGAGACCCAATCAGATCTGCATTTTAGAAAATTGGATATGGTGGTATTTTAAAGAATAAAATGGACAAGGATGAAACTCCTAAATGGACAGGCCAGTTAGGAGCCTGTTGTCACAGTTCATCAGGTGAGAGATAATGGACTGCCTCAACCAGACAGTGGCAGCGGGAACGAAGAAGAAAAGGCTGTGGGACACATCAGGGAAGTGGTATTGACAGGCTTCCCCTACACTCTGGGGCAAGTGTGAGGAAAAGAGAGCGGCCACAGATAACTCCCAAATTTCTAGTGTGGCAACCGGGTGTATGATATTGTCATTCAATGATACTGGGAACACAGTAAGGGGAGCAAGCCTGGCAGGAGGATAAGGAGTGCGATTTTGGATGTGTTTGTTTGAGCTCCCCAGGGGACACCCAAGTGGATACTGGTGTCCAGTTAGAGGCTGGCCATTGAAGTCCAGAGCTCAAGAGAAGGAGAGATGTGAGAGTCAGTATATTAGCAGTGGTTGAATCTGTGAGAGAGGATGAGATCAGCCCAAAAGAATGGTTGAATGAGAGGCAAGAAGGCTGAGGAACCACAGACCCAAAGAAAATGTACCCCAAAAGGTAAAAGAGTATCAGAGAGGTGGGAGAAGATTGATTAGGAAATGCTATCACTTAGTCCAAGAAGAGTGGCGTGGACAGCAGTACCAAATGCTTTCTCAGGGGATGTTTCCCAAATACTCATTTACCTCTATGGCCCTTTCTCAGTTTTCCTACAACTTATTTCCCATTGCCTAACAGGCAGCTCCAGGTAGGTTATTTTGTCCCCTCAAACTCAACATGAACAATGAAGATCTTAATCTTGCTCTTATCCCATCCTTTAACCGTTTTCCTTCCTGTTGGTGCAACGTTCATTATTCCAGGCTCACAAACTACAAGTGCTGGAGTCATCTTTGTCTCTTCTGTTCTGGCCCCAGTAGCTCTTTCTCTTCTTGGCTCCCATGAATTCTTTCTTTCATGCATCTCTAGATTCTCCTCCCAAGCCCCACCCATTTACTCACTTTTCCCATCATCACTACCCTCTACTTGAAAGTGTTACTTACCTAGATCACACCAACAGCCGCCTTACTCTCCTTAGTCCCTGCCCCTTTTAATATTCCAATCATTTTCAATTTATCCTTCTTAAAGGATTTTTCCAGAGCCACCTTGCAAGCCATATAATTCTTCTTTAAGGATGTACCTCATCACCCCCCCCCCCAACCAACATTTCCTCAGCCTGATCAGAAGATATTTTAAAAGGTAAAATCTACTCTTAAAAAGACAAATATTGTGTTACTTGGAACACACATTTTGTTTTGAGCACTAGAGCACGTTTAGTTTCTCAAGAAGACTGCCTTAAAAAGGACAAAGCAGATGTAGCAATGTAGATTGTCCTGTGTTTGTTTTTTCTAAATTTTTTTAAAATTTGAAATTTTATAGATGCACCTCAAATAATTGGTATCATGTGGCATGGCCCTTCCTTGTGGTCTGTTTGCATGTGTCACCCTTGTCTGGGACTGAATCTGATTTTCTTTTGCATACTCATGGAATCCATGGATTCCTGCAATCAGCAATTCCCTAAAAGGCTAAACAGGCTATTGAAAAGAACTATGTTATGGTTAGGTTCCAAAGACAATTTAGAAATGAAAGCAAATCTGTTGACAGAAAGTGGCTCAGAAATCAGGCATTTTCTTTTTCTTTTACAGCCAAGCTGAAAGTATCAGTTCAGAAGACAGTTTGGAATTCTTTTTAGATGATGATATGGACTATGAGCTGGTAACCAGATTATCTTTCTTGATTTAAAAATTGTGTTTGGTGAAAAGTATAGATGCTCATTTCTTCTTTTGAAATTAAAATGTCCTATTCCAAATATTCCACAACTTTCCAGAAGAAAATATGATTTTGATACTGTTCTCCAGTTATATACAGTTCATCTTTGTCATCAGACATTTAATGAAAAATAAATATCAGGACTTCCCTGGAGGTCCAGTGGTTAAGACTCTGTGCTTCCACTGCAGGGGGCATGGGTTCCATCCCTGGTCAGGGAACTAAGATCCCGCATGCTACACGGTGTGGCCAAAAGATAAAAAAAAAATTAAAAATAAATAAATAAAGGTCTATAAGAAGGTAACAATTTAGGAGATATACATTATCTACAGTCTTCCTGTAAAAATAACCACCTTCTGACTGTTTATCATTTTATTGGGGCTTCAGGTATACTGGGTAGCTGGACTGTGAGAGAAATTGACCTTCAACAAAACAGCCATGTATGGCTACAACCCTGACTTTGAGCTAATCCCACCCTAAATACAACCACAGAAACTCAAAACGAATGAAAAACACTTGAAAACACCAACCATGTATTATGTATAACATACCTTATCCAAGTCACTTTTTTTTTAATTGTAGAAAAAACACAATTTACCATCTTAACCATTTTTAAGTGTATGGTACTGTAGTGTTAGCTATAAGCACATTGATGTGTAACAGACCTCTAGAACTTTTTCACCTTGCAAAACTGAAACTATACACCAATCGAACAACTCCCCTATGCCCACTCCCTCTAGCCCCGGACAACCACGTTCTACTTTACATTTCTAAGAGTTTGACTACTTTATATACCTCGTAAAAGTGGAATCATGCAGTATTTGTCTTTTCATGACTGGCTTATTTCACTTAGTCTCATGTCCTCATGTCTTCCAGGTTTATCCATATTGTAGCAAATGACAGGATTTCCTTCTTTTTTAAGGCTGAATGGATATACATTTTCTTTACCCATCCATCCATCTATGGACATTTAGGTTACTTCCATCTCTTGGCTATAGTAAATATGATGAACATGGGTGTGCAAATATCCAAGTCATCTTGCTAATAATTAAATTTACTTAAAGTAATATAAACTTATACTTAAAATTTTGAAAAATAGAAAATCATTAAAATGTGGGGAGAAAATGACCTTCACTTAGCCTCCTGTCTTTCTCGTTCTTCTGTTCCTCTCCCCTTACTTTTCCGTAGACCTGCCTTTCCCTTTTTCCTGCCCTTGCCTCCTCCTCTGCTCCATCCCTTCTTCCTTTTCTTTTCCTCACCCTCTTCCTTTTCCCCTTCTCTAATAACCTTCATCTCCCCCCAACACCCAAAGTGCTCTCTTCCTGAAGGCCAGCTCTCATGTGGAAATAGGCTCCTTTGTCACTCTCTGCCCATGTCTCCCTCATAATCAGAATGGTATTCCTTTACCCCACTGTTTTATTCCTAGATGTCACATGTACACAGGTAGCATGTTTTTAAGTGAATTATATTCTTCATTATTGATTGATTAGGAGCCAGAACTTTATTTCAAAGAACCCGAAGAGTTACTTCAGGTCCTCACACAGCTGGAAGAGCAGAATCTCACTTTGGTACAATACTCCCAAGATGTAGATGAAAATCTTGAAGATGTAAATAAAAGAGAAAAACTTATATAGGATAAAATGTAAGTCATTAAAAACAAGTAGACTTATTCTATTAACCAATTTCTAACCAGAGATAAAGCCCAACTCATTTATGTATGGCCCTTCCTTGTGGTCTCTCTGGATTTAGGATGGGATTTTTGTTAATAATAGTTTACACTGAAGAGTGGAAAAGGTAGAAGTTATATTTACACAGAATAGGCTGGCTTTAGTTTAATTTTAGTCCCTACTTTCACTTGTCAAAATATTTTCCTAGCTAGCAATAATAAAAGACAATTTAAAAGATTAAAAAGAATTGAAATGTCACCTACTGCCTTAATTTTTGTTCAATACAGTTTTATGCTATCATCTGGCTAATCAATTCATGCTTTGGATAATGCTAATAAATGCATTTTACTTGGCTGTGACTCTCAGCATAAGTTTTTTTGTGTGTGACTTAAATATATCATTTTATAATGTACATATTGATATATCAGGGCTACTATAAAAAAGGATTTCTGTTGGGAAGGAGGCTGGATTTGATGACTCACAAAATTCCTTTCTACTCTAAAATTTTACATGATTACAATTTTGGAAAATAGCTTCAAGTTGCAGAGAATAGACCTTTACATCTACTCATTCTAAAAATGTGTAGAACCTTTTTTGGGAAGAGTCTTCTGGATCAGAAGACAGCAATCATTTTAAATAGTTAAGTCAAACTACATTGAACTTTGGAACATATTAACTTGTTCATAAGTTAAGAACCTAAAACCATAATCTCATAACCACCCAGTAGACTACTATATCCTTTTAATCCTTGTCTCCTCTCTCCCAGTCCTCAGCGTATGGGGCCCCCGCCCTGACAATATGATTTGAGGGGATGGGGTGGGTATGGTTGGGCAGGAAAAGGGGATCTATATCAGAATCTCTAAGTGAGTAGTCAGGAGTCTGTACTTTACCCAGTGGCTCCTCAGATACTCTGATTATCAGCCAGGTTTGAGAACGCTGACATACTAGGTCACACAGCTTGGGCTCCCGATGCCTCAGCTCTGCTGCTTTCTATTTGGGGGACTCGGGGGAACCACAGGAGTGGGGGTGGGGTGAGAAAAATGCTTCCTGATGGAAGTTAAAAAGCATCTGTGCATTTATTTTTCTCACTTTAACCTGAAAAGTTGCATGTACTTTGTCAATGTCTTAAAATATAAACTTGTATTTGGCTTGCTAGACATAGGATGTTGACACATGATCTGAAGGGAGTGCTGAAGCTCCTGACTGATGGCTTATTTCACTAAACCAAATTACGGACAAGGGTCTCTTTCTTCTTTTGCAATAGAAATACCAACATAGAGTTTCTTTTGGAACACAAGGAAATGCTTAAGGCTAACTGTGTAAGAGAAGAGGAAAAAGCAGCAGAACTGGAATTAAGGTCCAGGCTATTTAGTTTTGGAGAATGTAATTCAGATGCTCAGGTAATCATTCTTTGCCTGTAGTAATTTTATTTTGGCTCATGATATTAATAATCTGCATTCCCTGTGTATTAAGCATTGGAATAGGGGAATTAAAGCAAACCACAAGTCCCAGGTTGATGATAGAGCCCGGAAAGCAGCTTGGAACTAATTACTCTGTCAATATGTAATAGCTAATTTACACAGTAGATAGAAAGCATTCACACTGGCATTGGAGTTCTCTTAAAATGTTACAAAGTATGATGCTGAGATCTCCCCCGCCTATAAGTACATTTCTTTTAGTCAGTATACATATTACCATACATACGAAGTAGTTCACTACCTGTGATCATTTTGGTATTGATTTGAGGGGCAAATAATTAACAGAGGAATCACTGAATCAGCACTGAAAGGAACTATCTTCCAAACAGTGAGCTTGTAATAGATTGTGGCCTCTTTCAGGTCTGCATAGATCCACGTGTGCTTATCTGTTTGCGTGCTGGTTTCTCCCAGCTCCATATAAACCCCAGGGTAGGGACTGCCTTACCCTATCTAGTCAGCTAAGTTTAGTGTCCTCATTAAGTAAGTGCTCAATAAATGTTTGTTGAATGAATGATTAGGTTAGTTTTAAGACCCATAACAAACTCCAGCTAACACTGGTTTTCTTGTAAAAATCTCAAATGAATAAAATTCAAAACTCATATGTGAGACTAATATCACAATTATAGTCAAACAGAGGTAGATTTAAGGGGACTCTATCAGAAGATGACTGTGCTCCCCTGCCCATAGGTGGGCAGGGTTATAAAAGACAAACCTGTTTATGGCTCCTTCACAGCCCACATTTCCTAGGGTGGCATAACACCCGGAGGTAGGAGGGGATAGGACTGTGCACTGCCAGAGCAGGAAGTGTGATGACAGCCACCTCTCAGTTCTTCAATGCTGGGTTTTTTTTAAACCTTTTTTTAAATTGTGGTAAAATATACATAACATAAAATTTACAATTTAACCATTTTAAGCATACAATTCAGTGGCATTAAGTATATTTGCAATATTGCATAAGCATCACCATTATCTATTTACAGAATTTTTCATCACCCCAAACAGAAACTCTGTACCCATGAAATAATAATTCCCCATTCCCCCACCTTCCAGCTTCTGGTAACCTCTGTTCTACTTTCTGTCTCTATAAAGTTGCCTCATATATATGGAAGCATACAGTATCTGGACTTCTGTTTATGGCTTATTTCACTTAGCACGTTTTCAAGGTTCATCCATGTTGTAGCATGCGTCAGAATTTCATTCCTTTTTACAGCCAAATAATATTCCACTGTATTTTTATACCACAGTTTGTCTATCCATTCATCTGTTGACAGACACTTGGGTTGTTTCCACCCTTCAATTCTGTTTTAAATAATTCTGAAACTGATTAACATGAAAAATGTCAGGTAAATATCAGTGGTATCTCCCCGTGCCCTCCACCAAGCCCCTTTCATTCAAATTTAGGGTGGCTATGAAAAAAAGTGGCATTTCAATACTCAAACTTTGAAGCAACCAGAGCCCTAAATGGAGAAGATAGAATTGATCTGAAAATTACTTTCTTAAAGACTATGACATTTGGGTCACAAGTGTAATTTTGGCATCCGTGTATTATATACTCTGGGAAAATGGAGCTAATAATTCAGAGTGTCTCCCAAAAATGTGAAGTGTTGGGGCAGAGAAGCAGAGGCAGAGCGAGACAATTGGCAGGGGAAAGTGTTTTCTAAGAATTTTCCAGCTTCCCCACTCCCATTCTTTTCATATGTTGAAATGTGCAAAACATAATCCTTTATGAGTGAATAAGCACAGCTGTGTCTAAGTTTGATATTCATAAATTACCATAGGTTTTTGGAGGTATGAGTATTTTATTCTTTCAAAATTTCCACACTCTTAACTGTACTTAATCCCCTAAAAACATTTTTCCTTGATTCAATATTTTACTTTTAAAATAAACTCAACTATAATGTAATATTGAAAAGTGCACAGATCCTAAGTTTATCTCTCAAGGAATTTCCTCAAGGTGAACACACCATTACCACCCCCAGAAGCCTCCCGCGTGCCCCGTTCCAGTCTCTACCATACACCCAAGATGACCACTATCTTGACTTCTCTCACCATCGATTAGCTTTCATGTTTTTGAACTTTATATAAATGGAATCATGTAATATGTCTGGCTTGTCTGGTTTCTTCCTCTCAACATTATGTTTGTGAGATTCATACATGTTGTTTTGTGCAGTTGTTTGTTTATCGAACATGAAATGGAATGTAAGCTATTCCGTTGTTCAATTTGCAGAACGTCCTCCTCATCTCTCGTTTTATCGTTCTTGGGCACAGGGAGCTAATCAAGTTCAATTGCAAAAGTTGTTTACAGTCAGCACTCAGCAGAACATAACATGGATTAGAATTACAGAATCCTTGAGTTGGAAAGGACTTTAAAGGTCATCTAGCCATCTACCCCCTCGCCTATCCAGTTTTGATACAACTATTTCTCCTAAACATTGCTCTGGTCAGATCACTTCCCATTCACTGCTGAAGGCATCCAGAGTTCGTATCCAGTATTCTGAGCCTTTCAGGGTCCTGTCACGATCCTGTCCCACTACACAGCAGGAAGCAGCAGCTCCTCCCACTTCTTGCAGCCTCTCTTGGCTGCCCCTCCTCCGAGGTGCTCTGGGCTGGGCCCGCCATCTGGTGGCAGCTCCAGGGATGGGACTGATACTTTACTTCTCTGTCATCTGTAGGCCTGTGCCTTGAGCTCCCTTTTTCCTTGTCCTTCTGCTCTGTTGGGCCAGGCCCTCAATCTCTTTTTCATACATGAGTATTTTCTTTAACCTCATTCCCCAATCCTACTTCTTACACTGTTCTTAACTTGTTATCTTAATAAAATATCTCTCCTTGTCTTTTCCTCTCCTGTTTGACAGGCATAACTTAAAAAGAAAACAAGACATGCTGAAAGGTTGCTGCCCATCCATCTCTAAAGCTCTAAGTGTTCAAGAGGTTTCCCCACAAAACTTCCATCAACTACTAATCATTCTCATATTAAAGATGTTTTCTCAGAATATATATTTTTAATGACCCACACTGCAGTAATTTTTTCTATATCCAAGTACAATATTTTAGCCCCTTGATGAGTTATACTTTTTTCCTTTTATATTTTTCTATATATCTAAAGTTTCTAAAAGGAATGTGTTAATAGAAATAGGAATACAATAAACGTTATTTAGAAAGGGAAAAGAAGCTTTATGGCAAATAGGACTTTTGCTTTTTTTTACTTTTTCCTTTTACATTATTTTGTATTTCTCCAAATTTCCTAGAAGAAGCATGTTTTAAATATAAATAGGGAATACAGTAAGTATTACTTTAGAAGAAAAACGGGGGACTTTATGGCAAACAGGACCATCAGAAAGCTTGTTAAACTAGGAGGTGGGACAGACAAGCTGTTTGAAGTAAACTATTGGTAACAGATCTTGACTTGTAATTAAGTGTTGGTGGCTCTGTAATGAGTCTGTGGTTTCAGGAGGGGTCTCCCATGGCTCCTGGAGCTACTCTGTCTTGAGTATTATTTGTCCTTGGCTTTACGGTGATTCTCATCTTCCTGAGCAGAAGCAGGGAT